AATAAGTGCATGCTCCTTATGCACTGTAACGCACTGTAATAAGTGCATGCTCCTTATGCACTGTAACGCACTGTAATAAGTGCATGCTCCTTATGCACTGTAACGCACTGTAATAAGTGCATATTCTTTATACACCGTAACACACTGTAATAAGTGCATGCTCCTTATGCACTGTAACGCACTGTAATAAGTGCATGCTCCTTATGCACTGTAACGCACTGTAATAAGTGCATATTCTTTATACACCGTAACACACTGTAATAAGTGCATGCTCCTTATGCACTGTAACGCACTGTAATAAGTGCATATTCTTTATACACCGTAACACACTGTAATAAGTGCATGCTCCTTATCTCCTTCTCCTATATATAAACATATATCAGATGTCCGTTACATCAGCAGTACAGAGGAGTCTCTTTTTTTTTTTACCGTGCTCAGTCAGTGCCCCCCCTGCCCCCACCTCGGCTGATTATTGATTGAATAACAACTGTGTTGCTGCTCCCTGTGGACCCCCCACCCCCCCCACCACATCCTGAGACCTGTTGTCTATCTGTCTGCTTGGGACATGGACAGACTGTTATCTCTCACTGACCTCTGTGCCTCTCTCTGCAGACCACGAGAGTGTGAACACACCTGCAAGCCCCACCGCGACAGAGGAGCTACCTGATTACTTATTGTGAGTAACACGAGGGCCCGTTTCACGTGTAAAAAGCGTGTTTACAGAAGAGCGACAGCAGATGCAGGATCACATTTAGCACACAGCTGGACCGGCTTGTGGTGTGCTTATCGCTTCAGGCAGTCGACAGAGGTGTTATGTTACAGTTTCTTATCAGCAAGCACACACTTGTTTCCTTAAATCTAGTATTTAATTTAACTATAGTGCCACCTTAAGGCTAAGTTTAAAAATACACCTGTTACCCATAAACCAGATACATTTCAGCTATGAAACTTTCCAAAATAAAATGAGTATATTTACCTGCTCCATTAGGAGACTAAGAGGGACATGTTCCAGGTATATAAGGTTCCAACAGGTCTGGATGCTGTTCAACCAAATAGTTACTTCAATTTTAGTTTAAATACTAGAACTTGTGGCCATAGGTGGAAATTAGTGGGAGAACATTTTAAACTGGATTTGAGAATTAATTTCTTTACACAGCATGTAGCTAGAGTATAGAATAGTCTTCCTGTTAGTATAGTGCAAGCTTTAAATCCGAACTAGATAAGATTTTACAATTTTAAGCTATTAGTTGAGTTCTCCCCAAATGAGCTTGATGGGCCAAATGGCCTCCTCTCGTTTGTAAACTTCTTATGTTCATTCTAACAAGAAACAAATGATGGTCTAACACCCCAGAAAACAGGGTTAACAGTGAGTGGTGCTGTGACCCTCTTCCCAGGAAATACCACACCATTACTGGCCTAGAACAGCGTCAGAAGTACAAGGATGACTTCTGCGCAGAGTATGATGAGTACAGGAACCTCCACTCCAGGATCGGAAGTGTGATCGAGATGTTCGTTCGTCTAGGTTCGAAAATAAAAACGCTATCTCCCGGAACACAAGAGTATAAGGTACACACCAAGATATCCCTGATTTGGCGGCTGGATCGTAACGTCTTGCATATTGATTGATGACTCTGATTTGGGTGATCTCAATGCTGCCATGTCTGGAAATTTTCAGGTTATGGAGGAGCAAATACTGGAGAAGTATCAGAAGTACAGAAAGGTAAGGGAGCAGAACTCTGAGCTGCATCTGCTGCTGGATGGTTGTTCTGATTCAGTGAGAGAGCCGCTCTGGGCTTGTGGATCTGCATTTGAAAGGTATCTGATACCGTCTCAGATTTGCTGGCTGTCTGCTCCCCTCTGCAGAAATGCCCGGGGTATCGGGAGGAGAAGAAACGCTGTGAGTATCTGCATCAGAAACTGGCACACATCAAAGGGCTCATCTTGGACTACGACCGAGCCCAGATGCCTCCGCAGCTCCGGTCTCCCTGAATCACTCTCAGACGCATCAAAGACCTGCTGTGAGACCACAGCCCTCATGACGCCCCCCTGTGGCGCAAGGACCAAACATCACTGCAGGGAAGCTGTCTCGCCCTCATCCTCCGGAGACTCCATACACACCTAACTGGCCCTGCTTCAGAGCCATGTGTCCAGGGTTGCTGAAGCAGCAACTTCCAGAATCGGTCCGGATGGATATGGACTCACTCTGAATGGGCTTTATATTTCTCATTTTCAACATTCACAGTGATGAAATTATCATGTTGGATTCTATCGTGCAGAAATTTCATAGAATAAAGGTTTCAGTGAAGCCAAAGAGTCATCAGAGCAGTCCATGGTTGAGCAGAAGGAGAAGGCAGAGAGCATCTACTGTCTGTCTGTATTCTGGTGGCTTCCCAAGGACTCAAAGTACAAATATGAGGAGAGAGTAAACAGATTACTTTACTGTTATTCTGATTACTACAGCTGCGGCTGGAAATCATTCCTCACTTTGAATAATCCAAACCAGTGTTTCTCAATCTGGTGCTTGGGGACCCTCCCCCCGAGCTCCCTGCCTCCCTATCTGGGAGGGAGCAAAAACATGGACTGTCTATGGGTCCCCAAGCACCAGACTGCGAAACGCTGAAACAAACCTTTAAACTAGTGTTGGCCAATCATGTTCTGTAATTATTACTTGACTGACCAATCAGAGTCCGTGTTTGGATAGAAACAAAGTTGATTCATTGCAGGTAAAGGAGGAGCTGCTGAGTGGAAAGTGGCCTGATCAATAAATAATATAAACCCATGCCATGGTGCAGTTTGGTACCAAAATAATGACATTGGTGTTTGAGATGCAAAGAAGGGCTCTTCTAGGGTGTGGCTTCCTAAGAAGGAGGATGCTTATGACCTTCCTCCACATATCCAGTGGACTGGGTACTATCCTTTGTGCGGGACGATGGCCTGGATCAGAGGAAATATAGCTTTAATTATAGCTTAGCCATTGCTTGATTTTAAGCAGAATGAATGAAACTACGGAAGCATCTGCCATTCTTTGTTGCTGCTGGATTTCCTGTGTTTAAATGCTGTCTTTTGTATCTTATGCACCATAGTTGGTGCTCCTTCAGGTCCTTGATTATGTTTCAATGTGTACCTGTATGATTCTCAGCTGTCGGTGAGAATTAAAGAACAAATGCTCTACAGGTGTGTAGAATCTGGTACCCTGGTGCATTGGACTCACCTGGTGCTGTTTGTCCAAAGCTAGCAAGAGTTCACATGTATTATAAATGGAGCCCTGAAGCTTTTAGTGGGTTACACACTCGCAGTGTGTATGTCCCATGTTACATTTGGAATATAAGGCCAATGTGAAGTTAAAAATGTCCCTTCTTGTTCAGAAAGTTGCTCTTTGTGATGGAGGCTGCTCTGCTTGCCAGTATCAAGTATTGTTGCTAATAATTCATTTTTTCTACTTTCAGTCTTTGCTCATTTGAAGAATCTCAAACTACTGATTAATTCATTGCAGTTTTTATTTTTGTTTCCCATTTTCCTGTGTAGCTTTGAGGCCAGAGCATCTGATTTTATGTCTCTCCATCTTTGTATCATACCATTCTCATCTCTCTCCCTCCATCTCCATCCTCCAGTCGCTGTCCCTTATGCCTCTGCTTGCTACCATCTGCATTTTGTTTTCTTGTGGAGGAAGATTGTATCACCACAGCGATTGTAACACCATACTCCATGCTAATGTTAGAAGTGTTTTAGGTTGTGGTTTCCATACTTGGACCACATTTCCAAATATTCCGTATAAGTGAAGGTAAAGCGCCTCCTAGTGGCTTAGTTGTGCCTAGCGCTTTGTCAGACTGGCACAGAAGATGTGTAGCTCTTCACACTAATTGGACTCAAGCTCACTAGATGGAGAGATAATATTTGAAATGAAAATTGTAATAAAAATTGCCAAAGTGGAATAGTAAGTATTCTCATAGTGTTGAGTGCTGAGTCTTTCACTGCATGTGCTACTTTATAAAATGGTTGATATGCCTTTAAGAAGTGACGCCACGTAAACACACCTTATTGTCCTGTACAGTGCCATCTGCTGGCTGCTCTTTAGCCTTAAGCTTTACTGTGCTTTTCTTAAATGCAACTTCCCGCTCAATCAGCACAAGTATTTGTTTAATATATTCCTTTTATTTTTCTTTTAATTTATTTTTACAGAGAAAATGTGTAGCCTTTGTGTACGTGCAGCACACTGTGTGGTCTTTGTTACACAGCCTAATGATTTTTAGATGGTATGTATTGTTTGATATTTAATAAGTTATTGTTGTTGTTATATATTTTTGTTTCAAGGAATCCCTGAATTCAAATGCATTTTATCCTTGCTACTTCCATACTCGGTCTTTGTGGTTGCAATGGAAGGTCTTGCACCCCATAATCAGCATGTCTGCCAGCTACTTTCCACATCTCTGGAATGTTAGGGGCTTCAGGAACCTTAGTGTGAAGTTGTGAACTGTCCCCTGTAATTGCTCTTTTTACGCTGATCCTGTGCTTTTCATCTCATGCAAGGAAGATGGATGGATTAAGGTAAATGTGGTATATTACTGTGTTTTTCTGGGACAGCCTGAAAACAATCTGTTTATGGTACTGCAGGGACGTGTATGTTTTGTTGCATTTCTTTGTTTGTTTTTCTGTGAATTCCCCTTTATCATTTAGTACATTTCCTTTTGTTTGTGAAAGTTCAGTTTTGTTTTTTGTGTTTTACATTGAAAATGATTAATTTGGTTGCCCTGAATTCGTGCAACAGATTTTCTCAAATTCAAATCATCAGAATGAACTAATGAAGTTAGGAATTTAATTACATCAGTCAGTACACAGTTGCACTGAGGGCTAAAATCAATCAGACTCTGATCCTTGTCACCTGAACTGAGATCTGGCCTTCGATATGTGAAAGCTTATTAGTTCTGCTGATGGAAATGAGAATATCTGTTGTCCAGTAAACAGCTGAAATGTTTAGTGCTTGTGTAACACTGGATGAGAAGTACAGTTAGACTCAAGTGAGGTGATTTGGTATTTTAAAGCCACAAATTTGTAATGGAGGCTTTCAAGGCTTGTCTCCCAGGACAAGAGCCTAACATTTACAGGGTCCTCAATGCTGCTGCTTAAAATGCATGCTACAGTTTATGTGAGACAGGTGTTAGGGTCCAGTGGTCCAGTAGGTGCCTTCTCTGAGAGACTGGGGTTACACTGGGTTAAGCCAAACAGAAACATTGAATATACAGAACACATGTCTAACGAAATGTGTTTTCTCTCAATTGCATTTTACAAATGCACAATGCCTTGTATGACTTTGTGGCTTTTCAGGAACAGAGTTCTTGTGATATTGCTGTATCACCAGGTGTATTTGTAATGTGTTTCTACTTTTCTGATGCAAAAGTAACTGTTAATGAGCTGAAAAGCGATATCATTTTCTGGGACGATTTCCCCTTTGCATCTCTTTGCTGTATTTAGTGTATCTGTTCATTTTATTTGTTGTCTTTTGATATATGGGGGAAAAAAAACTTGTCTTGTGTGAGAATGCTTTTTGTTGAATTATAAGAAAATATTTGTTTGTATTCCTCTTGTTCATTTTTTGTGAAATGCTCTCAGTTTCTCACCACAGATATTCAATGATGCATTTAATTGTCTGGAGTGAAATTGTTGTATATTTTTGCATCTAGATCCCATTAAAAAGACTTGTACACTTTTTGCCTTTGACAAAACATAAGATATATTTAATGTTTCTGAAAATAAAGGTCTTTTGCATCACCTCTTACTAACTACATCATCAGGCCGTGCAGATTAGGATTATGTGCAATTAAGTGCACTCACTGGGCACATTATTAGGTTTACCTTGCTAGTACCAAGTTGGACCTCCTTTTGCCTTCAGAACTGCGTTAATTCTTCCTGGCATGGATTCAACAAGGTGGTTGAATCATTACTCAAAGACTTTGGTCCATGTTGACATGATAGCATCACACAGTTGCTTTCATATTTGCCAGCTACACTTCCATGATGTGAATATCCTGTTCCTACAATTCCATAGGTGCTCTATTGGGTTGAGGTCTCATCTATGGAGGTCATATGAGTACAGTGAACTAATTGTCATGTTCAAGAAACCAGTCTGAGATGATATGAGCTTTGCGACAAGACACGTTATCCTGCAGGAATTTAGAAACTGGTACTAAAGGGCCCAATGTGTACAAAGAAAATGTCCCCCACACCATTACACTACCACAATCAGCTTAAATTGTTAATACAATGCAGGATGGATCTGAAGGTCGCAGCAGAAATCGAGACTCGTCTGTCCAGGTGATGTTTTCCAAATCTTTCATCGTCCATTTTCGCTGAGCCTGTGCCCACTGTAGCCTCAGTTTCCTGCTCTTAGCTGACAGGAGTGGCAACCTCTGTGGTCTTCGGCTGCTGTAGCTCACTTGCTTCAAAGTTTGACATGTTACACATTCAGAGCTGTTCTTCAGCATACCTTGGGTGTAACAAGTGCCTCTTTGAGTTACTGTTGCTTTTTTTTTTTTATCAGTATGAACTGGTCTGGCCATTCTTCTCTGATCTCTGCCATCAAAAAGGCATTTTCACTCAGAGATCCACTGCTCACTCAGTGGTTTTTCCTTTTTTAGCCCTGCCTCTGTAAACCCTAAAGATGGTTGTGCCTGAAGACAAATTCACAGTCACTTAAATCACTTTTGGTATGAAGCTTCTTACCGGTATCTGTATGATTTTATACATGATGCTGCTAACATATGATTGGCTGATTAGACATTTGCTTCAATGAGCAGTTGAACTGGTGACCTAATGAAGCAGTGCCCAATAAATTATTTTGAAATAAAACTCTTGGCTATTTTGCTTAGAGTAAACCTATGTCAATACCTTGTTTACAAACCAATAAGGGATACTGGCGAACAAGTGAGTTTATCTTGCCTGATGGCTGAACTCACGTTCTGAATGGTGAAAACGTCTGTCAATCATGTTTGGGTCGAGAGCGCACATTATCAAAAAGAGAAGGAGAGGTACTGCTTCACACTTTTTGTGTGTGTGTAGCGTATAGGAGAATTGTTTATTAAATGTGTCTTTGATGTGTGTTATTAAGTGCACTGTGCTGGCAGTGGTGGGAATATGTATACTGGCCTTGCTAGGTATGGTGAAATCCAAAAAAAGCTGAAAAAATAGTTCATGTTTGGCAACTTGCATCTTTTTTTTTTTTTATAATGGTGAATGTATACATAAATATACATTTTCAATACAATTTTATGAAGCAGGCTCCGGAGCCCTGCGACCCTGCGACCCTGCATAGGGTATCATGGAATGAATGAATGAAGCAAATACATTTCCTCAGCACTGCTGTCTAGCTACCTATGTAGACTGCATTGTTTGACTTTGAAGGTTAGTGAACTACTCAAGCCAACTCTCAGTTGTTTACATATATCTATACTGTTAATAAATACAAGTACATTTACGACATTTTAGCAATACAATACCCATATTAACAACGAATCGGAACGCTTTTTACGAATATAGTTGCACTTAGGAACCTTCCGTGCGGACTGCTTTCTGTAAGGGAAACTTCCTGCACCCGTTGCCTTGGCGACATATCAACAATGAAACCGAAAAAGCTTGGACGAGCAAAGTAATACTGCCATACCTTATTCTTTAGAGCGTTAGTTTTTTTAAGCTCTTCGGTGCTGCTTTAAATGTTTGAGGTTGCAGTCTTTGTTTCGCCATTATATAATGTTTCACGTTATATAATGACGTTTCTAATTTAGGGAGTGACACGCGAAGGTTTTCGTAAAAGTAATAAAATGTTAGGCACGGTATCAGGTGCCTTGTTAATCACAGAGATTTTTTTCTGCTGTTAATAAAAATTATTGAAACTCTTTTTTTGTTCGCTTTTGTATACGTTTTTATTTAGGATGCCAGTGTACACCAGGAAGGTCCCTACAGGAATCCCAGAGCCTTGGGACTCCGAGGACAGCGCGGATGAGGAGCGTGTGGATCCTGACCTGCTGCATGACTCCTTGCCACAGCCCTTCCGCATGATTGGCAAGGTGCTGGATGGCGTCCTCGACAGGGCCTGGGGCGTCATCTCAGACAGAGAGGCCGCCAGAGTGACCGAGCGGTCCAGGAGAAAAATCCCACAGGTGGAGTTTTCAGATGAAGTTAAGGTGGGAATCTCACTCATCTCTGTGATTTACAAAAATACAAAATCCATGTCATGTCATGTTCCATTGGACCTGAAATATTTCGGTTTGTTTAAATGAATTAAAGTGACAAGTTGCAAACAAACATTTTGTTCACATGTAGCTTCCAGTGAAAGCGAACTGTCTGGCATGCACGGATGATGGGAAGTACGTATTTGTGGGATTTTCCTGTGGGATTTCTGTGATCAGTGCCGTCGGTCACGTGCGCACTGCCACGTGGGAGCAGGACAGGGTTGAAATCATCTCCATTCATTGCACTTGTCTTGGAGAGATGGCTTATCTCATAGCTACTGTGGACGACATGGGTAAATGATCTTACCAGATTTTTAACACAAATTATTCGAAAGAAATATAAAACGTTCTTTCTCCTTGTAACTGAAAACTAGGTAGGAGACCAAACTGTGTGGAGATGCTGAGAAGATGATGCTGTCTTACGGAGATTCTGTCATATCCCTCTAGGTGTATCCCGAGTCTTCGCTTATTATGCGGATTATATTTACTTAATTAAGTTAATCAATGAGACAGTAAGTCTAGATGTTAATTGAACATTTCAGTAAAATGTCAGTATTTATGGGAATAGATATTTCATACTATATTTATACCTGTTTTCTAATTAAATGCAGAAAGAAAGAAATAAAAGAAACAACTGTACAAAGATTGAACTGTCTGAAGGTGGGGATTATGCGGCAGTTTTGATTGATTGTAAGTACTTTTTCTGCATTGCATATTTTAGAACTAGTGCATTTAAAGTTAAAGGACAGCCTAGAATCTGACTATGCCATCACCACACAACCAGTTAACACAACCTATTACATAATCTTTCCATGTTATAATGGAAACTTGTTTTATTTGACTTATATTTTCATTTATAAGTTGTTCACTCAACTTTCCAATGCTTAACAAGAATAAAAAAAAATCTGCAGCTTATGAAGTAAATGGAAAAGTGATAAAATCTTTTTGTGTGCAAGAACTTTTAACTGGTAGTGTAGCTTCATCTTTCCCACCAGACTTAAAGGGGTGTCCTCCAGCTTGCTCCAAAAATGTGATTCGGGTGAATCAGTGGTTATAAGTCGTATGTGGCGTGTGCACGTGTTGGTGTGTGTAACATGATGTTGGCTGCTCCCGGCTTCGCATTTCCTGGAATGGGGTCTATGCTTGTTGCGATCGTGTGTTTATGGGCTCACTGCGGCAAACCTGGGAATGGATGGATTTAAGATGGTCATGCCTGTTTTTCACAGGCTCCAATAAAAATTCTGTAGCAGCAATAAAACACATTCCCCTGTTTTACTGAGACTCAGTAACTGTCTAATTTCTTTGGCCAGGCAATGGTGATTCTTGGATTGAAATGTATCGGTTCCCCAAAGTGTCATGGCTGAAAGAGCTGGAAGCAGCGTCATGCAACCAGGTGAAACTCCATCAATATCGCCTCAAGATGGAAGCGTTCTGATGTATTAGTAGGCACGAAGTTCTACAACAGATAACTCCAGTTAATTAAAAAAAAAAATCTTTCTTTCAATTTGCTGAAACTTTAAACCGAAGTTTGCTTGTGCAGCACTGAATTTCCTCCATATAATTTTTATGTTTAATCAGTCTTTTTCCTATGCTGTAGGTGACAAATATGTCTGGAACAGAAGTTGCAAAATTTTCACCAGTGGTAATACTGCTAAAAATCAAGGCACCTGACATGCTTTCAGGTATTCATAAAAAAATAATAGAAGGACGGTTTTGCAGAACAATGTTTGAGTCGTTTCAGAGGTTTCCATAGCGATTGTAAATTTGTGATGTTGCAAAAGTAATTTACAGATATTAATCTAGTAATAAAGATTTTAAAAGTTCTCTTGGCTTTATATTTGCATTTGGTTATATACCAGCTGTCACATGTCATTCTGTTTTCCTTTGATTTTGTTTTTGCAGGCACATCTTTAAAATGCCCATTTGAGGTGTTACAGAAGACTGCATCTGTGATTGGCTCCGGTCTGAATCACATGATCAGTGCTCAACAATGGGCGGAGCAGCGGGCAATATTTAAATCAGTGCACAGCAAATATCTGGACACAGGCACATGTGAGATGAAGGCAAAAGCGCGGTGAGCTATTAATGTAGACAGCAGAATGAGAGGCACTGTTTTAGGAAATCAGCCATAATATGCTCATAATCTCTGATTGAACATTCCATACTGAAGATAGAAATGAAATACTCTCTTTAACTTGTATGAATTATGCAGTTGCATTATTAAAACTGTTGTAGGGTTTCACAAAAACATTACAGAATACAACGCTCCTTCAGTGTGTGTCAGTCATTAATTTAATCTGAATGTTACTTCAGCCTGGGTAGTCTCTTCTTCCTCCTTCCTGGAGGACTGTGCACCTTCACAGACGGGACCAGAAGTCTACAAGGTGCGTCAAAACAGTTCACTCATGCATTAATTTCTCCATACGGGCATCTCCCTTGGCCACTTATCAGGCGCTTGGGCACACGGGTACGTGATACTATGGTTTGTCTTGTACGGGAATAGAATCTCTGTGTAACAGAGCAGCCGGCCCATAACGTTAATCTCTTTAGGTCCACCTAGTGCTGTCTGTGTGTGGTGGAGAGGCGATCATAATCTTTACCAGTACCTGCTGCATAAAAGAGCTAAAGAGAAGACGACAGGTAGGCTGTACACCTCATGTTATGCCCCCTTATTTGTGATGCGCAATGATACATTATTGATTAATGCCTTTTTAAAAATGCAGATTCTGCTTTGTGCCAGCAGAGGGCAGTGTTACTGCTCAGGTGACCTTATTTAAAAACAAACATAGAGCTGATCGTTTAACATGATGTTGTGGAATTTACCGTGCTAATGCACTCTATGGATACATGGTTTATGATTAGCACAATCAATAAATGGTTAAAATAATAGATGTAGATTATTATATGGTTTCTTTATGTTTATATGTACCCTTCTTTGCTGCAGAGGATGAAGCCAAGCCCAGTGTGGTGTGGCCAAACGCTCAGGAGATCGTCTGCTCGGCGATCAGCAGATGCACTCGTCACATTGCGCTCGGGCTGATGGGGGGGTTAGTCACCGTGTGGGACCGGTGTCTAGGTGAGCTCCCTCTCTTTGGTGTCTTCAGACTGCCTGCTGACGGCTTATTTTTACAGCTCGCAATGTTTCTTGGACGTGTTTTTATTATCAGGGTGAAAAATCAGGAACAAAATGAATATACACTTTATGGACAAATGTGTTGGGGCAACAGGCCATTACACCTAGAGGAACTTTTATGACATCCCATTGGAAATCTATAGGCATCAATATGGAGTTGGTCCCCCTTTGCAGCTATAACAGCTGCCGCTCTTCTGGGAAGGATTTCCACAAGACTGCATTGTGCCAACTGTAAAGGGGGATAATCATCTGGGGTTTTTCAGGGGTATTTATATGCACACACACACACACACATACATATATATATATATAATAATGATAAAATTATTATTATATAAGCATTTCACCATGGGCTCCACACAAACGTTTTGGTGCTATGCGTTATTTTAAATAACAAAAACATGATGGGCATTGATGCTGCTCAAATTTAAATAAATCTTTCAGAAACAATCGACACCAGGTACACTTTCGATCAGTGATGGTTTGACTCATGTGGATCTGATCTTTGATTCTGCAGGCCTTCCTTGGTCCGTCCTCTCTGTTTCTGCTGACAGCCCTTTCAACAAGCTGCACTTCCTGGACTGTCTGCCCTTTTCCCAAGATCCTTTTTTCCCCAAAATACACGTCTTGGTGACCTGCAAGAATGCCGATTGTCATGTGATCACTGCAGGCAGGGGGATGGATTTCCAGGTGATGCAGCTGTGTGGAAGGTAACCTGACTGACCTGCAAGGTGAAAGAGCGTGTTAGGAATTACCTCCCACGTTCCAGGGAGACATGTTACAAGCAGCTGTAAAACGAGAATCATCAGCAAGCTGTATTTGTGGATTTCAGTCTAAGGTGGTGTGTCAGTGTGTGATTGAAGGTGTTGCTGAGAGCCATGTGTCTGACATGTGCCTCTCATGACAGGCCCAGCTTCCCCGCCAGCCAAAGTGCCGTTTGTGTTATCATGCAGACTGCTGTTTCTTTCCTGGACAGACCTGCAGATGCAGAGGGTCCGCCCACAGAGGTTCTGTCAGTCCACTTTCTGCAGATGTTGGTGAGCATGGTTTACATTTTTGAGAAGAACTTGTGATCAGGCAGGGCTGCTGTGGGTGTGCACCTCCCAGAATTTAAATTCACTTAATTTATCCCCCAGAATATATAGACCTTTGCTTTTATATCGTTAAATTGTGTTCCCCCATCCGCAGTCAAACTCTCTCCACACCATTGCGTGCAGAACTATGTTACGGTTAACGGTGTACATTTTTGATCTCCCAGCCTGTGGGTCAGGAGATGGTGGTGATTTCTCTTGGCTCCAGGATTCAGGTCCATAGTTTTCATGTGAATAGGTAACTCAGAACGACCGCATGAGTGAATTTGTATGTATGAGAGTGTGAGCGCCCCCTGATGGCCAAGACAGATGATTCTACAGGAAAGACTCTGGCATTACTGAACAAGGGGTTGCTGAGAATTATATATATTTCCATGCATTTAAAAGTGTTGCTGTCTAATAAGCATTCTGTGTCAAAACATGTGAGTGTGTCTCCAGGTGTTGTGAAAGACAGAAGGAAGGACATTGGTGCTGATCAGCTCTGAGTAATCAGGTTTTAATTGAAAAGCACAAAACACAAATTCAACAGCTCAAGACACTGAGCAGCAATCAGAATCCGAATCGTGAAGCTGAGGCAAAGGAGTGAAAGGCAGTACTCATAGTCGGTGAATCAGACGGAGGTCGGGTGATGGGCTGAGGCAGTACTTGTCAGTGAATCAGACGGAGGTCAGGAGATGGGCTGAGGCAGTACTCATAGTCGGTGAATCAGACGGAGGTCGGGTGATGGGCTGAGGCAGTACTCATAGTCGGTGAATCAGACGGAGGTCAGGAGATGGG